TCAACCTGGGCAGAAAATTTGAGGCTGGAGTCAATGATCACCCCCAAATCCGTAACAGTCTCACAACATTTCAGGGGGACCCCATTCACTTCATATGTCATAGCGGCTCCACTACCAATATGGAGCACACAACACTTATTTAAGTTCACTGCCAAATCAAGACTCGCCGCCCAATGGTTGAGCTTCTCAACAGATTGCTTAAGAGCTGCACAAACATCATCACGGTTTCTGTCATCATAGATACCATACAACTTAACATCGTCCGCATAGACCTGCACTTTAACATTTACTGAGGTATTGACGACCTTGAGTGTAACGGATTTGAGTGTAACGCTCGTGAAACAGGAAAAGAACGGACCAAGACCGAGATATTCAGCAACCGAGGACAATCTTTACGAAGGCAAATATGACTCCGTCCTCCAACGGCCTACTGCGACCCCTCACTGGGATGCCTAACGTACAACATGTCCTAAAATCGTTGAATGTTGACTTTTCTCAATCTCACTTCTTTTTTTGTTTCATGTGCGTCCTCCCTCCTCCCTCTGTTAGACGACAATTTTTTGGAGACTGTAGAATTTCTGAAAAAAAATTTCTAGAAAAACTTATAATCCTGTTTCCAACCATACTTAGCTGCCCTGTTGTACGATTGCAGGTAGTGAAAGTAACAAGTAATCAGCGAATAAGCCATTTGGTACTATAAGGACTTCGCTTGAAATTGTACAAGGTTTAGTTCAGTAAAGGCGCATTCCATTTACGTTTTTCAGACACGCAAGAGACATGATTGATGGTCCGTTAGACGTTGGAGCGATTGCATTGTGTGTATCCAAGGATACGGCTAGAGAAGCACTTGGAGCAGCTCGTCGTGGACGTATGAGAGCCGTACGCCTTCCTATAAAGAAATATGTGAAGTAAGTTCAGTGGCCTTTGCAGGAAATTTTTGTTTAGATAAACCTTTTTTTGATTTCGAGGACCATTTTTCAGTTTTAGTACAATGAAGAAATGAAAGAATTTTCCCAGGTGGCAGAAAGGACCAATGTACTTGCCGTTCCCTAACATATTGAGAATATTCCGTGAAGTTCATCTAAGTGGTGGAGATTGGGAAAACGCATTGCTCAACAACATCAGCAAGTAAGTACCTTTCCAGTAAGCGCCTGACCTTCCTTAGCTTCCAGCTTTGGTTCCATAATGTTGCGTAGGGTTCAGACTTCGTTCAACCTTACATTTTAGGCGCCACCTTCTAAGTCCAGAAGGAAGACCAGGAA